GATGCTGACATTTACTTTTGGACATTTAAGCTGAGCTTTTTAAATTTCAATCAATAGCATGACAACTAGTTCTCGCAGTTCCACTGCTATGACTCTTTAAGCAGATGTGCACAACAGCTCTCTCTTTACAACCATTATCACCCTGGACAACCAAAGCCTACAATGTTACTGTAATTCCCTGGAAGAGTTGAATTCTGTACTTGATTATACCCTATAGGAAAAGTACTGCCTCTCTATCCACTTTTAAAATTGATTGACTTTTCTTTTCCATGTCTGTTAATTCTGTTCCCAGCCACAAGCTTTAAACATTTCCAATAACTAATCATTAGTCCCTACACTGTCATGGCCTCTGAGTCTCAGCATCCTGACCTTGCTCATTGAGTTCACTCTTACTGATGTAATCACACATGCTTTTCTGTAGTTACATTCGTCATGGTGCTTGCTAGAATTATCATCATCCCTACTGCACCTTAGTTCAACAAATTTAAATATGTTTGGACTTTGTCATCTTTAATTTCTTCAGATAGTTTCAAGGAGATATGTTATTTTACATGATCAATAAATACCTTTTCAGTGAAATGACTCTGATACAGTGATAACAGATTGCTAATTGGGAGCAAAATCTTAAGACTAGAGAATTTTGTAAATTCAGATAGTGGTATTTCATTGACCTTGAATTCACAGGTTCAAAATTTCTTAATGTTAAAAAAGTCCTTCAGAGTAATCTACTAAAGCAATAGATAGAAAACATGTATAATATGTATCTATGTATGCACTGAATTAAATGAACTAAAGAAGAACCTAAGTTTTTTTAAAAAAAGGAATATTCAATCTGATCCACACTGTCCACTCATTGACTTTCTGATGTAGACTAAACGTTCCTTTGCTTTACTTAAAGCCTGAATTTTTGTTTTTCTTTTTATAGTATAAAGACTATAGAGTGGCAATGTCCTTCACAGACAATGCATGCATCTTTTAACTTTTGTTCTTTTTATGGTCATGGTATGTGCATGCATATAAATAAATGCACAATAGTTTAGCTCCAGAAATGTTTACCCTAAACTTTAAAAATGTAGCTTATGTAGAACATTGGATAGCTGGCCTCTCATCATTGCTGTTTATGTTATAAGGCTCTGAGTGCTGCCTTATAAAAGATATATCCATTTATTTTCACATTTAATCTGAAGTGTAGAGTTTCAGGACTGGGAACGGGTTGCAGGTTGTTCCCTCCTGGTTATTTTTGGCTTTAAGTGTATTGATCATTTTATCATTTTCTTGTTTTAAACTGCTTTAAACACAGCACAAATGTTATTCTCATCATGCCAGAAATGGGTTTGGAATTGATTTTGAGTTTCCATTAATTTTACTCTTTGCTCTCTGTGAGAAGTTTTTCACTTGTTTAAATTCAGAAAGATACTTTTGTTCAAAAGATGTGGGAGAGCAACACTTGGGGAGCCTCAGCGGGCCCAGGACACTCAGATGCTCTACTTCACAGAGGCGAAGTTATTGAATTCACTAGCACGGACTTTGCTGAAATTAGTGAAGACTCATTCATCTGAATGCAGTTTCAAGGGCTTCCTCCCTCTTCTCTCCATAGAAGTGCTCAGCAAAGCAGGCATCTTCTGAGAAGCCCGCCTGATTGGTCTGGGTTGGCACTGTTTCAGTGTTTGGCCTACAGCGGCTGCTTAGGAAGAATTTTGTCTCATCCTCTCTATTTTCCTGGAGTGTATCAAACTCAGACACGTGGTGTGCAAAGGAAATCCAAGTCCTCTAAAAATGCTATTTCTTTTGGTAATAAGGCCAATGCCAGTTCTACTTTGGCCAAATGATCTTATCAAGATTTAACAAGAGATACTCAGTAACACCTCCAGTCTGTGGGAAGACATAGATCAAGGAAGAGAACTTAATACATCTTGCATACATATATTTTTCCTCCTGGCACCAGGGAAGGGCAATGATCAAACTTATTATTGGTGCTGAAGATAACACAAACTGACAAGAATGCTGTGACAATTACTCATTTTGATTAATTTAAAAAGAAATAAACAAGTATTTCTTTCTATATTAAGACAGACACTAGAGGTCTATTTTCTGTCATTAATGAAGGTATTTTTGCTTCTATAAAGCACCTCACAAGTCTGCCTTGCCATCCACGGTGCTGTCACAATTCAGAATTTGTAGCGTTTCAGCCAGATTCTCTAGACTAACTAGATGAAACAATTGCATTACAGCATTAAGATTCCTTTGCAAGTCAAATGAAAGGAGAGCCGTACAGTTCACATAGCTTGAAAGTCTTGCCCCGTACACAGCCAAAACACTGTACATGCTATATAGTTTTCTAGGTTTATAGTCCCTTGTATGAAAACTGTTAGGCTTTAACTTCACACTTAGGAGAATAAAGAACCACAGGGAGAAATTTAGATTGGTAAACCCCACTTCCCACCCTATCCTTACTATTCCCCTGCAGTTTGTGTTTCTGAACAAATGCTTTATGTCTTTAAAAAGTGCCAGGGAATCTCTTCCTTCAGCTACACAGGCTTTGGTTTTATGTGTACATCATAATACACCTTAAAACAGAGTCCCACAAACTGCAATGGGACGTTAATTTAAATACAGACTTAGGGGGAAGAGCTCCATCTACTGAATCAGTTAGATCACAGTTTGCACCCTATAGTTATCCCTTCATTACATTAACACTTAGAAGCCCTGGAGAAAACAGATAAGTTGCAGACATGACCATCTTAACAACTAGTTGTGAGCCTAATGCTCTTTGGATATTTCCCAGATGCCCTAAGCCCCCTTTCCTTTGTCCTCCCCAGTTTTCAAAGCTTTCCATGTTTCAATATAAAACAAAAACAGGATGCTTTGCTATGTGAACCATCTCTCGGAAGCAATAGAAAGTCACTGGCATTGAAGGAAAAGCCTTAGCTAGGTGAAGGAAATATGCATGAAGAAAAACTCTGTCCCTGGCAGGTTAAATAAACTAGGAAAATGCAAAAAAAAAAAAAAAAAAAAAAGAGCAGCTTCCTTACTCCCCCTACCTTGTATGATTTTTTGAGAAATGCTACAGCCTCCAGGACCAGCTCCTTGGCTCTCCTTGGCGGAAGTGTTGCTGTGGCATTGGGAATTTGCTGTGGCTTCTAAGATTATAGGGAAATGCTTCAGCAAGCCAAAAAGTCACAAACAAAATTCAAAAGAAAAAAAGAGCCTAAAACAGCTGATTTTTATTGGAAAAGGTCTTGGCATTTCCCTACATATGCCACAATTTTTGTTGGTAGTTCCTAGTTCTATGATCATGGCATACTTATTATCATTGTTTTTTTCAGGGTTGGTGATGATACAGCTGGAAAAATGGACCAACAAGATGTAAGGTAAAGATGATATCTCCTGTTTGTTTGAAAGCTTTCTAGGAGAACACATGTTTAAAAGTTTCTTTCTCAGAATACTAGTGACATATAGAAACATTTATTCTCTCTAGATTAGAAAAGAATAAAAGAAAAAAATTGAAATAAAAACAAAATAGAAAACCACTTGTTAACACACTAACAGATATAGAATAAAGCAAGTGGTATCTGAATAAACCAGCATTAATACATCTGCATAAAATGAAGGAGTGTGCAAGACCTATAAAATAGAAATTAAGGTAACTTATAAGAATATAAACATGCTTAGAAGTGTATGTGGATAATAATCAGATAGAGGCAACAGTTTACTGGATTTTTAAATTACAGAAAAATGATAAAATAACAAAAGCTCACTAATTTTTTATATAAAAATAAAATTAATATAAATGTTAAGTGGCTTCGTGTTATTTTTGCTGTATATGCAAGTATGCACAGATATGTATTTACATATACCTGAAATACACACACATACACATACTATACACACACACCACAAGACACACACACACACACACACACACACACACACACACACACACACACACACAAATTAATGTTGTTTGGCAGTGAAAGATAATATGAGGAATGAAAAGCAAAACTCTTATTTCAAATTGGGTATTGAAAATATCAGTAGGCTACTTATAGGCTTGTTAATATTTCTTTTTAACACCCTGAATTTTCAAATTTGATCTTAAGCCACATAAAGAAAACAGAATTAGAAAAGCAAAATGTATTTTGTTAAAAAACCTGATCACTTTCATTTATTAGAATATTTAAAATTCATAAAACAAAAATACAAAAAGAAAGCAATAACAACAAAACCCAAATGGCTAATTCGATTTTTAAAAAATCTTTTGAAGACAAGTTCAGTTCTGAGACACAAATAAGTATGAGAAATTTCATCTTAGAGGGTAACTTGTTTGGATAGTTATAAAAACCCCCAAAATGAAAAAAAATTTCTACCATAACTATAACAAACAAGAAGAGCAATATCCTAGCAAGAATCAATCAGAATTGCAAAGCTTGAGAGGGACATTGCAGACCTGGGAGAGATGACTACATGAGGCAATATCAAACCTAGCTATGGAGATAAAGCTTTCTGGAAAATGGGAAGTATTACCATTAGTGACAGGAAAGACTGCACTTCAGCAATGACAACAAACAACAACCAAGAACACCTGGGCATGTCTCTGCAGAAGGAAAGTAGAGGACTAAGTAAATGAGAGATCTACTTCTTTTGTCATTTGCCTTTGGAAGGCTGGCTTAAAGAAAAAAAAAAAAAAGCTTGTACAAAAGATACATGTGTTTCTTTTCTGGTATTATTACAGGCCCACCTAGATTTAGCTTTCGATTCCAGATGAGATCAGACATGTTCAGACTAGCACATCCTTGCTCTGTAAGCGCTGAGCTTCCAGCATTTTACTGGCAAATTCACGTATCCCTAAATTTATGCACAATAGATGCCCCTGAAAATCTGCAAATCTTCTGTTTCAGTCAAATTCCTCACTGAGTTAATTTTTTGTCTCCATTTACTAGTACTAAGCCGGAAAGTTAAGGCAGGCAACTTGCATAGGAAAGAAGTTGAATAGTACTTACCCTAAGTACAGGGTGCAAGCCTTAGTGGGCAGTTCACTTTTTCTCTATGATAGTTAGAAGGGTATCCAGGTCTGAACTCAGCTCTTGCCCCTTTCCCTTCTGGAAAACTGAGTAGACTCACTGAAGGTGCCTCAGAGAAGGATCACACAAATCGACAGCCTTACCTGTGGCCATTCAGAAGACTGCACTTTGGTGTGTATTTAAAACTATGAATAAAGTCAGAGACAGCGCATGCTCAGCAGGCAATTTAAAAATATTTATAACATTGTTGTCTCAAAAACAAATTTCCTCAAACAAAGCAAAACTCACATTTCTTATCCATGCCAAGTTTAATGTTCTGAGACAGAGCTGTTTTGGAGTTTTCCGTTGGGGGAAAAAGGTTTCTCAATTTTTTTTTTTTCTTTTTGCCGAAGGAGAATAGTTCTCCCTTCCCTTTTGGGTACTCTTAAAGGGGTGGAATAAATTTCTCTCCAAGTTTCAACAAAATTCACCATTGGTTATGAAAAGACATTGCACATTAAAGGTTCACGAAAAACAATTTCAGAGCAAGTAACAAGAAACTAAAAACTACAGGTCTAAAGTGTGTAGCAGTCACCTGAGCCTTTAAGGCAGTTTTGTGTGTTATAACACACACACACACACACACACACACACACACACACACGTACACACAATCAGGATCTAGTATACTCTGTACGGCAAGAATAATGTATAGACAACCTTATGCATATCGAGAGAAGTTATGCCCTTTTTTCTAAGTAAAATCTGAATTCTTCAAAACTAAAAAAGAAATGCATCAAATTTTAGAGTAAATCCAGCAATAACTGTCAATATAACTGCTTTTCATAGCAAGTGTGGAAAGGTAGCCGATCACACATTAGTCAGTGAAATTTTGAGATATACAAAATAAAAATTTGATTGAGTTAAGGTTTTAAAAGTACTAATTGAAGCAGGAATGTCTGTCTCTCTTCTATTTGGGAATTTCTCCTTCTCTGCCTTGAATACCCTAAATATCCCATTTATCATTTCTCACCAAACCCAGAACGAACAGCCCACGGATCTCAAAGACCTTCTTTAAACCTCTTACTTAATTCTTAAGTCTCTGAATGGATTGTAACTCCTGCTCCACTTTCCAGTGGTGCTCAGCTGGCCTCACAAAAGCTCCACAGACATATCCTTAACTATCTCTGATGTTTGCAAGCTCAACAGAGAGTGCCGGAAAAAAAAAATCGAGGATTGAAAAAAAGTTTATTAAAGTGAAACTAGGAGTGCGGATTTGGAGAAGTTGTCTCTACTTTTATTTCCCTCCCAACTCTGCACAGGTGTTTCCTAACTTACACTGCAGGGCAGGCTGCTGAGGGGGAGGGGAACATGAAGGTGAGGGAGTGGGCCAAGGTCTGACCAGCAGGCATTTAGCAGCTGCAGCCTCCTGTGTTAATGGATGTGTTTAAAAATGGACCCCCCAAAAAAGCTCAGAATGAGGTTTCTTTTTGGCAAGTGATTAAACCACTATACTGAAATAATTAAAGCTTTGTCCTTAAATAAAGCATCAGATCAATAGAACAAAAACAAAGATAAAAATTGCACACACACATGCATGCGTGCACACACTCTGACACACATACACAAAACTAGCGGGTGAAGGGAGAAGGAAATTAAATAAAAGAAAACAAACAGAGTCCTAACAGGCCATTCTCCAAAAAGAAATCTAAATAAAAAGTCATATGATATCTGATAGTGCAGGACACGTCGCCAAGAACCAGAGCGGATTGCCTCCAGGAAGAAAGGGCCAGTGTATTCCAGCTCAAAGAGCTTTTCTTTCCTCCTCCTCTATTTTTTCCCCTTTCTCCTCGACTGTGAATGTGTTACTCTCAGGTCAGAGCTACGAAGAATCCCAGAATGACAGCTATCACCTTTCCCTGTACTCTGACGGCACAGCCAGCTGATGGAAGCTGCCTGCTTGGATCAAGGGGAGCCACTGCTGCTTTCAGCAACAGCCTCTTCCTAGACCCTCTGTCCCTCTGAGAAAACACTCTGGTCACATCAAAAACCAGAGAGGGAGAGGGGAAGGGTGGGGAGAAGAGACACACACAAACCAAAATATGCAGGTACAACAGCTGCAGCAACAAAAGGGTTCAGAAGGAAAAAGAAAAAAAGAAAAAAAAAAAAAAGAAACCAAGGGGGGGGGGGGGGGGGGGGGGGGGGGGGGTTGAGGGGGGAAGGAAAAAAATCCCCAAACCTCTTGCTTTCAATCTAAAACTTTTTAAAGACTTAGTTTCTTTTATTTTTGATGGCTGACTTACATTTTAGGATTAATTTACTCCTCAAGCACTATTAAAAGCATTACAAATTCTACAAAAATATAGACATCTGAGCGTAATTCAAGAATTTTCCTCAAGAAAACATGTAACCATAACAAGTGATCTAGCTTAGAAATTTTGGATTTGCCCAAACTTCCCCTACTTCTAGTATCTTTCCATGAGGTCAAGTGCTAGCTCGGCCACCCAGTGCCAGGTTTAATGTGAGGGCCATTACTGAAGGAGCACACACATAGAAGGGCTCCCGAAAAGACTCCTTGTTATCAAGTTACTTCAAACACAAGGCACTCGGACCTCCCAGCCGGGAGGGCTGACTAGTGAGGCGTTGCCCTCTGCCCCATAAACACTGTGCCCTTAAGAAACACAGATAGACACACATTTCATAAATATGGGAAAATGTATATGTCTGTAGTATTTCTTACAGTTTCCCCTCCCAGGGATAATGAATAGATTATATTTTCCCATAAATGGGAGGAAGAAGAAGGAAAGAGTTTCTGATTCGTGAGCAACTGTTATAGCTGCTTCCTCTGAGCCACAGTTCTGTGCAGTTAGCTGCTCAGCTAATCTGGGTTTTCGGGTTTTGAGGCGCTTGTGGCAATTTACCCTTTGCTCAGTTTAGTGTCCATCATGTACGTTCCAAAGATTTCCAAACAACAAGCAAAATATAAATGCATTACAAAGTAGAACTTTTAGAAAGAAAGCATTTCCTTGGGTTTATCATTCAAGGATATTACTATAAAAATATAAATGTACAGCAAGTATTAAAAGATAAAACTGTTTACCACACTTTGCAATACAGTTAACATCCTGATTTTTCTTTTCTTTTGCTAGAGGATTAATTTGAAAATGGTAAGAATTCTGGACTGTTTGCTATAAACACAAATTCGTAGTGGAAATACACACGCACAGGCAAAACATCAAACAGAATACAAAGCTACGTGGCAATCAGAATTGTTGAAAAACCTCTGTCTAGGTTATATTTTTCTTGAACCAATATATCATAGACAGGACAAGTAATGTCTCGGGGGGGGGGTTGGCCATTTATGACATAGAAACAAAATATAAAAGATAACTATCTACCCCTTTACTACCTTCTCTTTTAACTGACAAGTGACACAGTGACGCCTTTTCAGCAGATGGATGCAAAAACTTGCGAGATCAAATGAACTGATGTACCCCATTGGTATTTGGGGAGCTCAAATCTCATAATTAACTTTTTACCCAAGTGGCAAAAGTAGAGGATGTTCTTGCCACTAGATTGATTATTTGATGGGCTCTTGCTGTTTCTCTTACAAGATTCCAGGGACACAAAAATGGTAGAGACAGGCTAGGAGAGAATGCAACCTGGGCAACTTTTACTGTGAGTAGGAAAGAACAGCAGAGTGAGCAGAGGAACAGTTGAATTTAGAAAGATTGGAAGAGGAGAAAAGAGCAACACAGCCAACTTAATTAGTCATTCCTTTTAATTTTTCATGTATATATGTAGGGGTGATTGAGAGAAAAGATAACTAGGTTTCTTCTGAATGTCTTTGTGTCTTTATAGAGTAATGCTCTGTTCCTGTCTCTCTCTTTTTCAGGCAAAAAACTAATAAAAATAGAAAAACATATATCAGACATTAAGCCCCCCCTCCCTTTGTAAAGAACTCTTTGTTCTCCAGTGAAAATGCTGAAAAATCCCCGGGCAGCTACTCCCTGAAACAAGTGCAAAACACTTAGAGGCTTTTGGGCTGGCTGGGAGCCAGGAACCCTCCCGCTGTCTGGTTAGAAGAGGAAAAAAAGAAGAGAGGGGAAGAGAGATGGGGGAGAGGGAGAGAGGGAGGGAGGAAAAGAGAGAGAGAGAGAGAGAGAGAGAGAGAGAGAGAGAGAGAGAGAGAGAGAGAAGAGAGGAGAGAGAGGAGAGGAGAGAGGAGAGAGAAATTGGAGCTTCCTTTTAACAGACCCTAGGAAGCAGCGTTTTTTTCTTTTTCTTTCTTTTCTTTTCTTTTTTTTTCAAAACTGGCGGTCAAGCGTTAAGTAACTCCCGTCTAAATCCACCTGCTAGAAATGAACTTGGGTACCCCCCCAGGGGTGCACAAAGACAGGGAAGACAGTAACACACTCCACACACTCTCCCACCCCCGTGTACTGCTTCCATTCTCCCTGCTCCCATACACAAATGCCCACAGCTTCTCACGCCGCCCCTCTTACCCCCCAACAACAAACACAGCAAAATACATGCTCCCTCAGTCTCCTTAAAAAAAAAAAAAAAAGCCTTTCCACCTCGGTTGCGACACAGTGATAAGGGGTAGAACATCTCATACCTGGTGTGAATGCTAATCAGTCAGGAGTTCTCCTTTTCCCAAGACAGGGAACTGTTTCCTTCCAAATTTATTAGAACCTCCTCCACTGCCTCTTTGAAAAACCTTCTTTGTCACCCTCTCCCAAGTCCCGATACTTCTTTAAAAAAAAAATGGCTTCGGAGCTCCTTCTATTCTTGATATTGATTCTCTCTCTCTCCCCCCACCCCTCCTCCTCTCTCCTGTCTGTGTCTCTTCTGAGTGGTCTATTGATAAGTCCCTGGAGGCACTGGGTCAGCCTGCCCGTAGGAAACCAGACACAATGCACAAATCTCCGAGTGCCATTCTGCCATCAGCAAGCAGACCACGTTTAGGAGAGAGAGAGGGGAAAAAAACAGTAGAGCAAGAGACAGAGAGAGAGAGAGAGAGAGAGAGAGAGAGAGAGAGAGAGCAAACGAGGGAGGGAGAGAGACAGAGAGGAAGAGAGAGGGAGGAGAGAGAGGGAGAGACAGAGACACACTGAGGAGAGAGAGTGTGAGAGAAAAAGACTGATTGGAGCAGGAGGGAGGGAGAGAGAGAAAGGGAGAGGGAGAGAGAGCGCGAGAGGGAGAG